GTTCTCATTGTTAGTCAATTGATCCCCTCCGTAGTCAATTATCGCTCCCTTACCTTGCCTGAGTGGGTTGTTTAAAAAAAGCCTCATCCACCTCTTCCACCTGGTTAGGTGGCCTGTAGTAGACTCCTAGCATGACATCACCCTTGTTTTTACCCCTTTTAGCCTAACCCAGAGACTCTCAACACTTCCGTCTCGTATGTCCATCTCCACCTCAGTCCAAATGTGTACATTTTTAATATATAAGGCAATGCCTCCGCCCTTTTTCCCCTGTCTATCCTTCCTGAGCAAGCTGTACCCATCCACACCAACATTCCAATCATGTGTATTATCCCGCCAAGTTTCAGTGATGCCAACAATGTCATAGTTGTATTTATTTATTAGCACTTCCAGTTCTTCCTGCTTATTACCCATACTTCTCGCATTTGTATATAGGCATCTAAGATACTGGTTTGATCTTGCCTCCCAGTTTTGCCCTGACCCTCCTTTCTCTCTGCCATTATAGCCCATGCTCCCTCTTGTTTCCGACCCATCTCCCAGGTCTCCATGTTCACCACTTACCTGTGGGCTTTGCTCACCTGTCCCCGTCGAACCTGGTTTAAATCCCTCCTCACTGGGTTAGCCAGTCTGTGTCCAAATAGGGTCTTTCCTGTCCTCGAAAGGTGAACGCCATCTCTGCCTAGCAGTCCTTCCTCGAATAGCTTCCCGAGGTCGAGGAATCCAAATCCCTCCTGGCGACACCATCTTCGCAGCCAGGCATTCACCTCCATGATGCATCTGTCTCTGCCCTGGCCCCTACCTTTGACAGGAAGAATCGAAGAGAATACCACCTGTGCTCCAAACTCCTTCACCCGTACTCCCAGAGCCCTGTAGTCACTCTTGATCTGCTCAGTGTCACACCTCGCAGTATCATTTGTGCCCACATGGATGAGTAGCATGGGGTAGTAGTCAGAGGGCTGGATAATCCTTGACAATGCCTCCGTAACATTTCGGATACGGGCCCCCGGCAGGAAGCATACCTCCCGAGATGAAATGTCAGGGCGACAGATGGGCGCCTCCATCCCCCTCAGCAGAGAGTCTCCGACCACCACTACCCTACGTTTCCTATTCGCAGTGGTGGCAGCAGACCTCCCAGCCTTAGGGGTACGAGGCTTCTCCTCCTTTACTGTAGGGGGTGATTCCTTCTCTCCTGTATCAAGAAGAGCATAACGGTTACTTATTACCACGGCGGGAGGGTTCGGAGCAGGGGTGGAGTACTGCCTGCTGCCACAAGTAACCAGCTGTCAGGGTCCACCCTGAGCCATCTCCTATTCCACCAGTGGTGTATCAGCAGTCCTGTGTACTGGGACAGGTACCTCAGCTGTCTCCACATGGACACTGTCCAGGAATTGCTCGTGGATTCGGATGCTCCTCAACATAGCCACCTCCTCCTGTAGCTCTCCCACCTGCTGCCTGAGAGATTCCACCAGCAGGCACCTTTCACATTGGATGGTCCCCCCAGCCTGGATATCAGTAAGTGGAAATTGCAAGTTACAGTCTCTGCAAAACCACACCAGGATCTGGGTAGAAGCGTCCATGCTCAGGCGCTCTGTCTGGCTACAGGCGCAGGTGGAGGAGACAGAAGCAGTGCTGGCACAGGTGTTACGGGTCTTCCTAACCATCGTAAGCCTCCCTCTGTCAAACTCCCTCTCAAACTCCCCTGTCTGCAGCCCCCGGTCCGCTGAAAGGGTTGTTTAAGCAAGAAGTTTTGAATGTAGTTGGTTTATAGGTTTTAAGGGGAATAAAGGGAAAACAGATAGAACTGACAAGGGACCCTCGCCCCCTTCCTGCTCTCCTTCTAAACCCCCTTGCGAAACTCCCTGTTAGCAGCCCCTGTTCGCAAAACCTCCCTGGTCACTTGTGCACTGCTTTATAAAGCCCTGGCCTGTATGAATGCCCCGCCCACTGATTAAGGCTCAGCCTATTACCAGAGGCTTCTAGCTTTCAGACCTTCCTTTGAAGCTCACAGCTTCCAACTGCCAGCCACAGCACACGGTCCTTCAAACAACCAACCAAACAAACAGACTGACAAACACAAGCTCAGCACACAGCAAGTAACCCCCAAACACAAACAAACATACACTACAGACAGTCACTTACCCCAAGGATGCTGTATTGCTGTATACACACTGGGGGCCAGGATTTTACCAGTAGAGCTTATTCTTTTTTGAAATACTGTTGAAGCAAGCATTTGACATGGTAAATTGTGACGCCCAGGAGAACACGTTGATAGTGCTATATAGTAAGTAGTTTATACTAAGCACACGCTACTGGTAAGGAAGCAGCAGGGGAGAGCGTAACTTTTAATGTGCCGGCTTAATTTGATAAATGACAAACAGCAACAGATGCTGGGGACTTGTGAAATAATGCTCAAACCTTATTTAATATTTGCATGCGGTTTCTGGCATGATTAGAAACAAGACTTGCCTTCTGATTTATGCACTGTGTAAAGGTTAAGGTTATAAATTAACCTAGCGAATAGCCCACTATTTAAGAAGTGTCTGAGCTTTTAAAAAAAGAAATCTATTGTGAAATAAGGCATGATGCAAGAAAACTGTGTGGGACATTTCCTTATCTATGTAGCACTTGTTTGGAGGAAGGCAAATTATGCTAATCTTTTACATAACACTGAATATTCCGTTGCTGTTTGTTGTTACTGTGCCGTCCTACCCTGGAAAAACAAAGATCAGTAGTTAACTAACCATATATTTCTGTTCCGATTTGTAATCCACTGGAATAAAACACAAGGACGAAGGCCCAGTCCTCTAAGGTGCTCTGCCCCCTCAACTCCCATTGAAGCCAATGGGAATTGAGGTTGCTCAGTAGCTTGTCCGATCAGACCCTAAATCCGGCCCCGTGGTAGCTTAGAGAGACTCTTCCCTCGACGAACGCAAGGAACTGCGAGCAGAGCTGCAGGGAGCTGGCTAGCAGGCTGTTTGGGGGTGGGACTAGTCTGCAGTTTGGGGTTGTCTGCATCTCAAGAACCATCGTGCAACTAGGTTATATTCAGCAATAAGTACTAATCAGGCTATTGATTGGAGTAGCAGCAAAATGTGTCCACACATGGTGCCCTGTAGATCCTCCCCGGCTGGCAGAATCCCTCTAGTACAAGATACACCAGACAGTGTGTCTGCTCCCCTTCCCTGCCCTGGCTAGGGCAGGATTTGGCTTCAAGTATTATTTTTCCAAAAGTGAAAACATAAACCTATTTATTCATGCCCTATCCTCTTATAATAAGGCCCATTGTTGTCTGTTGGGGGTGATTTGGAAAGGATGGAAAAGTTGCAGTTTCAGATCAATCATATATTATGGATGCTCCACACTTAGATTACAAAGCATCCTTTTCCCCTGCACTGTCCTTACAGTATCATCATCATTCTTGTCTCAACTAATTGTGTCTCTGGGTTATTTATCGATTTTTAATTTTTTTTATCAATTTCAGTTGAAAATAAATATAGTTCCTCTTTGCATTATCCTTTTGCATTGTATTTTTATAGCACAGACTTGAATGTTCCTTTGTCAATCCTTTTCTGTTACTGCAAAAGAATAGGTGGCTTGAAGCCAGAGATGTCCTCTTTATTTCATCTATGAGAACTTTGTGGTGTGCATTGAAAATATTATGAGATTTCCTTCAAGAAAGGGTATTTAAATATGCCAAGAACCTCTTTGAAGGCTTGTCTGTGCTACAGATTGTAACCGTGTTTTAACATGTGTTAACTAACAGGTGTTAACTAGCACAATTGTTAAGTGTAGTGTAGACAAGGAACAATGTTCATTTGACATGTTTATCCATAGGGCTACTCTGATTACACAATTACAAACTGTCGTGTAGACAAGCCTTGAGAATAGAATCTGGTATCATTAAACCTAGTCTCTAAGAGGAATATTGTATGGTATGGAATTTGGGGGGGATGGATGTTCCATTTAAAATGCTTCCCCTTTAGCCAAATTTTATTAAAATGTGTAATTCATCAGATAATTGGATGATTTATGGGATTGCTAATGTGGTATGGAGATTTTCACCTCTTAAATTTCCAGCTCATATGTATCCTAGGTTAGATCAAGTGTTGTTACAACATGATGGGTGTTTGGTGGGTTCATGTGAAAGGAGTTTGGTGGACCTTGTTCAGCTTTGCAGGTAGCACCGTTGGTCCCCTTGTTGACAATCTCAGCAGCGATCCAATGACTGAACAGGCATGAGGACTGAAATGCTCTCCTTCAGGGCAATAAGGGAAGCTTATTCTCTTGCTGCCTGTGATGTAAATGTTCTGAGAATGTTTGCCTTCAAGTGTGTCAATCCAGCCCCTTTCACAAGGCCCTGCATTCATTCAAAACACATTTTTGAATAGTAGATTGTATATTTATGCAAGTCACTGTTGTAGTGCTTAAGGACAGAACTACAGGATCCGATCTTGCTTCTAATGATTTCAGTAAGAGCTCCACATGTACAATAGCTGCACTCGTAAAAGTGTATCCAACCGTGCAGTATTATTGAATTTTTTCTTCTTTGTTACTTCCATTAAAATTTGAGTAATGTAGACTGAGATTGCCATCTCTTTCTGCCCAGTATTCTAAGAACATGGCTGATGCACTGCCAAAGGAAATACTCTGGATTTAAGTTTTTTACAAGCATAGTATGCCGTATTCAAGCGAAGGGATACAACTGTTCAAGTTTTTAATTATGTTTTCTAGGGCACAGCTTCTGTTCTTCAGCGCAGATCTGATAATGAGGAGTATGTAGAAGTTGGAAGACTTGGTCCATCGGATTATTTTGGTAAGAAAAATTCAACGTAATAAAATAAAACATTGTTTGGAAAGACATGTGGAAGATAATTAGTCTCTTTCAAAATTAGTTTTATAAGCTTCAGTCAACCACAGGGATATATAGGGTCAGATTTTGCTCTCAGCTGTCTTGGTGTATATCCTGAGTAACTTCACCGAAGACGGTTTTATTCTGGATCTGCACCAGTGTAAATGAGAATCGTTAAAACATTATGAATGTTAAACTTCTGAGTAATTTTAAATGGCACAAGCATGTATAATACAACAGTATCTGCAACCGAATTATGTAAAGTGTCTATCAAGATCTTTGTTAAGGAATGTCTGATATCTCTAGTGCACACTGAAGAAAAGGAAACAGAGACTATGTGACAGTATATTTATTCCTGCTTCCAGGTGAGATAGCACTGTTGCTCAATCGTCCCAGGGCAGCCACTGTAGTGGCACGTGGGCCACTGAAGTGTGTAAAGCTGGATCGTCCTCGCTTTGAACGAGTGCTTGGTCCTTGTTCTGAAATCCTGAAGAGAAACATTCAGAGATACAACAGTTTCATTTCTCTTACCGTCTAAGCTATTCCATTGGGAACGCTGCCTTTGTGTGACCCTGTGCACTTAAATTTGACCTGTGCAGCTCAATAGCTTTATGAAGAGAAAAAAGTGTGCATTTTATGTGTCTTTTTCTGTCTATGTCTGATGCACTGGATATAAAGTCAGATGTTATGTGTCATTAAAGTAGGACAACAAGCTTTTGGATAAGACTAGCTGTTAGGATTGTTTATGAATGGTTAGGTTTTCGGCTTCCAGGTAAGATTGCTCTGTGTTACCCTGTAAAATACTTTCATTGTGCATTTTTAGCTACTTAAAAATACATCTGAGTCTCTATTTCTCCATTTATTTTAGCTTAGTCTCCTGAAAGTTAGTCCTATCCATCTTTTGTCAATTTTTTTTACGAATATACATCCCCCTCTGCCCTTCAGTTTAAAATGCTCTTCACTTGTTACGGGAAGTTTACAAAACACCGCATGACAAAGGACGGTTGCACAATTTGAGGGGGAAGGCAAGAGGAAGATTTTGATCATTCCAATACTCCAAGAAAGAGTAGAACTTTGAATCATTTTGTCTGTTAAATATACTGGGCCAGATTTGTCCCTGATGCAAATTCTTTGAAGGCAGTGGAGTTACACCAGGGATAAATTTGGCCATGCTCCATTTCAATTTTGAAAGTGAAGATTTCCAGGTGTTTGGGGGATTTTTTTGTAAGCATTTAAGTGTAGCCATTAGTTCCCAAAGTGGGTTGCCCTGAGCCTTTTCAACTAAGAGCCTGAGCCAAAGCCCACTGATGTCAATAGGAGCTTTTCCATTGACTTTAGTGGGCTTTGAATCAGGTCCTAAGACTTTTGAAGCATCATTCTATACACCAAAATATCATCAGCAGCGTTTTCTGAATAGTATATAAAAAGCTTGAGCGATCATGCTAGAAAGCACATCAAAGATATTCAATGGTAGTTTGGTATGAAAATGTTTTACATACAGTCCATTTACTCCAGTTAAAATACCTTTGCTTTTGTATATGATCGAGGTTTTTCGAAAGCCAGACATATACTTTCAAACGAATCATCCCGGAATTTACTATGCTGCCTCTTGTCAAAAAGACGAGCACTGTGCAAGAGACTAGTCAGGCCCTGATCCTGCAATGAACGGCATGTGCTTGGACCCCTGCCCCTGGGCACAGCCCCACTGACTTTGTTGTGGCTCTGCACAGGCACAGGTACCCTCTTGTGTAGAAAGCAACAAAGAGTCCTGTGGCACATTATAGACTAACAAATGTATTGGAGCATAAGCTTTCGTGGGTGAATACTCACTTCGTCAGACTAGCACGGCTACCCTCTGATACCTGCCTCTTGTGTAGGGCTTTCTGCAGAACCAGGCCTTAGCCTGCTGTGCAGCCCTCCAAGATTTGAACATTTTAGATCATTCCTTTGGGGAAATTTTCCATTGAAGGAAAACTCAGTTTGATCACTGTAGCAAAGAGTGCATCCAACTACCATAAATACACCTTTTGATTATGGTAAAGCCATATTTCTCTGTTTATTAAAGCATCCTCCTATTTGATGACAGTAAGAATTTTTAATATCCTTCCTTCATTATGTGCTGAAATTACAAATTAAACAAGGCAGACAGAACCTTTTTTAAATCAAAGGGGCTAGTCAAGAATATGGCTAAATTAACTAAAACTGAAAAAGTTCATTATGCTCTTTTAACCTAAATTTACAAAAATTCCTTTTGGAATTTTCCCATCAAGAAAACTCCTTGGGCTCACTACTACAACCCTCAGAATAATCTTCGCTGAGCTACATAAATCCACGGACTTCAGGATCAGGCCTATCATAATTTCAATCTATTTAATTGATTTCAGTATGTTTTTAGTGATCCCAGTAATCTCTATTTATTACTATTATTTATTATGAGTGTTATGCTTCTTGCATGGATTATGAAATGTGACCAGTCAAAGTGTTTTGTTTTCCAACTTGCAATTTCATGACAAAACATTTATATAGACAAAAATCCACCAGACACGTACATTCATGTAAAAAACTCATTCTTTGCTTAACCATTTTTGTATTTTCCTATTCTGTGCAATTAAAAAAAAAATGTAAAGGTTACCACTCACTCATGTATGCTGTTTTATCTCTTGCGTTTCTGCTGCTGTATTGGTAAAAATCTGTGAGCGTTTGGAATAAAATGCAGGAAACATTTCAGCATTACTTAGACATTGAGTGTATTAATCTCACTGTTGAGAGTTAAATATACACACATACAAAACAGATACTTTGCTTTGAACTTTTAAAGATAATGAAAATCCGATTTGAATTACAATTCTGTTGTAAACAATCTGAAAAGACATGTAACCATTTAACAGCAGAATTCCTTTGATGTAAGGGGAACAGTCTATTCCATTTTAAAGATTATTGTAATATTTGATATGGATGATGCGACAGAATTATGGTATGAATAAAATTCTTGTACGTTATATGTGGCGCTTGTGAACTTCTTAACAATGGAAGTTGTTGTATTTAAAAATCTGAATATTGTAATAAAAAATTTGAGCTCTATTGGAAAAAAAAAACCCAGGGAGCAGACTAATGTATTGGGTAATGTAATGTAAAAACAATCAGAGTAGGGAAGAGGCAGATAATCCCAATGCTGTACAGAAAGGGAGACTGCTCTGTTTCTCTCTGCACTCAGTAAGGGAAAAAACTCATGCTTAAATGTTATATAAGCAAATGGGCACCATACTCCCTCAAGCTGTACTTGAGTATTTAGGGTATTTAGGCCCCAAATCAGCAAGGTGCTTAAGCACATGCCTAACTTTACATATGTGAACAGACTCATTGAAGTTTTAGAGACCCTGTACTAAGCCAGGAGGACTGAAATCCATGGGACTGCCCATGTGCGAGGCATAGGCTTAAATACCTTGTTGAATCAGGGCTTTAATTGGACGGAAAAATCTTTCTCAGGGCCAAATGCTGCCCTCTTTCCCCCAACACGTACAAAGCCCAAGGCCTTGCCCGCAGTGGGGATTTGTGCTGACCACACCTTTTGATGGCCAGCCACCTATGTATCGGCACCCTCGTTCAAATCCCTAGTGGAGACAGGCAGAGCCACTTTTTGCAGCAGTGAAGCATCTCAGGCCAAGCTGCGTCCATGCCAATGGCAGAGTATAGTGGTTTACCCTGTTTAAGCTAGCCGTCCTGGGGGCTGAAATCGGGACAAATCCCCAACGGAGACAAGGCCCCCAAATGAACTGCCTTTAGGCAGGACATCTAAGAGGGGCCAGAGGAAACTTTCTGCCCGTCTAACCTGGTGTCTTGGTGAGGAGCAGCTATTCAGTAACCCACTGCCACCAGCAGCTCATTGGCTGTAGTATCGGATGGACTCCCTGTGCATCCCCTAAAAGGTGGGCGGGTTCTCCCAGCCTGCCACCCAGCATTTCTGCCATCAGTGAGGAGCAGCATGAAGAGTCACTCTGATGCCTCTCTGTGATGTCCCACACACACTGGGATCATGGGTGGTTCCTCTGTGTCTAGGGCTTTCCACCTTACCATTTTTGGAGTATCTTATTTTCTCCCCTTTGCTATGATTCAGGCTGCAAGGATTCATCTTTCCTGAGAATTACTCACATTACATAGTAATCAGAAGTGACCGCTTTCTCTGAGCTTCTTCCAGAATGGCATTACTATCATATGCTCCCAGAAGAGGATCTTACCGCCTCTCATTGTCCCTGGGTTTTTTTCACCTTCCTCTGCAGCATGGGGCATGGGTCACTTGCAGGTTTAAACTTGTGTAAATGGTGAATTCCCTGTAACTTGAAGTCTTTAAACCATGATTTGAGGAGTTCAGTAACTCAGCCAGAGGTGAGGGGTCTATTACAGGAGTGGGTGGGTGAGGTTCTGTGGCCTGTGATGTGCGGGAATTCAGACTAGATGATCATGATGTTCCCTTCTGACCTTTAAATCTATGAGTCACTCCCAGGATTCTTGTTTTGGCTGGCTTTGTTTATGCCATAGTCATTTGAGCAGTACTCCAGTACAGATGGTAGAGGATTTTTTTCCTGTGGAATTGTAACCCTAGAATTTTTTTTAAAACAGACATACATGGTTGAACGTGGTTTAGTCTATAGTTGTTGTATGATCTATGTATGTACTTTTGGAAATGTATGCTGCTTTCTACAGATCGGTGTACAAGGCCCCTAAAACTGTGTAATTGTGTCAAACCCTTTAATCTTCAGTTTCTTTTTTCTCCCAAACGGAGTTGGACTCTTTGCCATCAAGGGTGGTGGGGATGTCTGGGAGAACCAGAGTTTTCTGAGGATAATAAAAAACTTTGATTAGTTTCATGTTTGGATTTTTTGCAACAAATGTCCACTAGGGTTTCAGATGGGATTGTACTTGGGCAGTGCCAGAGAGCCTATGCTTCTATTTTTAGCACACTAGCTCAATCACAGCTAGCGTGGGACTGTCTTCTTGAGCTGGAAATTACACCTCCAGTATAGCCATCACCTAAGGGTGAAATACATCCCTGTGCAGAATCTTAGCACGAGGCCTATGCATCCTGTACGTTCTTTTTTGAGTTCTTAAGTGGTGCCAAGCCCTGGTGGTGGCCTCCTTGGCACAGAGGTGAGTTTCACCCCAATGCACATTTATGTGTAATGTCAGAGGAAGGAAATATTATCTCTTGTTATAAGTGCAGAGGCAAAACCAAGACATGCCTTGTAAAAATAGCCATAGATTTTATGGTCATTTTACTGTGATGACTATATCACTATTGTACTGACTTTGGTGTCTGGATGTACGAGCAAGTAGGATGACAATGTTTCGCTGTACTCTTGCTGACACATTGATTGCTAACTGCTTTACAGAGCATGCCTATTATATATTTCAGCTAATCAAAGAGCAGCGTATTCATTTAAGGGTCAGAATGGAGTTTCCCCACAATCCACCTTAAACTCCCAGGCATGCTTTTTTCAGAGTGATCCTGGCAATTCGGAGTCTGTCCATTCCCACCCTGTACCCAAAATACACACACCTGCCCACAAGCTCTCACGGATGTGATCACAGCTGCAATAACTCCTGCAGATCTCACTGCCCTGGGGGACAATGGGTGTGCATTGGCCTTGAGTACGTACGTGTGTATGGGCTTGAGAATCCAACTGTGAAACTTGGGAGTCATGGGAGCTCATCTGCTTGAGCTCTTCACCACCTGGGCTTTTTCACAGCTTCTTGTTGGGGAGTAGGGTTTTATCTGAGGAGTGTGGCTTGCACGACAAACTGGCCTTTCCTCTGAAAAAGCTGGCTAGCCACAGCACCAGCATCTGCAGCCATCTGTGCTTTGCCGGGAAGGCTGAGGATGTTTTGTGCTTGGTTAGATTCCAATACCAGAGTGATCTTGCTGATGTCTAACAGTCTGGATTCAACTTTTTAAAAGAGGCAGCACTTTGCCAGCATCCTCATAAGCTGCAAATGCAAAGCAAAGTATGAATATCTCATCCTATACGGTAGGGTCGCCTACTAGAACTACACAGGTAATCAATTTTGGCGTCACAATTCTCTAACTTCTCCGGAACCGTTTTTTGCTTTTGTTTTAAGTTAAGACAGCACAACTGAGAGTATGTGAATCAAGGAAGAGTCTACAGTCTACATCAACTGGAAGCCCAAGTAACCCACGTTCCTGTATTTACTCAAGTTTAAATTAAATCTGCAGATTTCTCTTTAAAAACATGAATTTTCATGAAGGAAAAACCCCCAAAAAATTGCATTACCCAAGACAACTGCTCATATTCCAGTGTAGAACATATCCAAACATGGAACAACAACATGCCATCTTGTTACAAATGCCAACAATGCTGAATGAATTGGCAGATCCAGTGTTTCTACATAATCTCTAGTCACTACAATATTAGGATAGTGCCATATTTTTTACATTTTCCACTTTACTTGCTATTTTGGTTGAAATGAAAAAGAATCCTCTTTGCAAAAAAACAGATCCAAATAAGGTTAGCTGACTGCATTAGCGTTGGGTGAGAACAGTTTCCTGTCTTTTGCAAGAATTCGCACTTAGACCTGGAAACTATAGATGGATGATGAGATAGGGATTTTCTCACCACTGCTTGCTGTTGCTGGCTGTGGATGTGTATGCTAGTGGCTCTAGGGAAATCAAGCTGAATGCCTTTCAGGGAAGTGGCTACTCCCTATCCTCTTTATACAGAAAATGTATTGTCATTATTTGAAAGAACTTTTGTATTGCCCTTAGACTACAAGTATGGTGATTGTTCCATTAGAAGACATCATGGTGCATAGCAGTGAAATACGACGTACAGTACCATGCATGTGTATTTTCCTGATAAACCGTGAACATGGTGAAATGGCCCTGCAAAGAGTTTGGGCACAATAGCTGCTTTACATTCTTTCATACGTGTGGAATTTATATGGACTGTACTGCAGAATGACTCTGTTACATTACCATGTGTTTAAGATAATGGGATGATTAACTAGCTTTCGAGTGGTTTTCTCTTCTAAGTTAGAGTTGTGGTCCAAAGACAAAATAGCACGGACCTCAAATCAGGCTATGGTCTGCTACTGGCTAAATCCCTCACAATCCCACTAAGAAAGAAAGCGAGAAACCAACAGACTTACACTTTAACAGTGTGGTGGCGTGTGGGATTCCTTTTCCCCTTCCCTCTGGGGAACTGCTAGCTAAGTTGCACTGGGCTAAGGATTTGGCCCCAGCTGAAGACTGTCTGAGTCTTTCCAATATTATATATATCTGGACTATGCCCCCACCCTGAATCTGAAATGTGAGCGTTGTCTGTCGTTCCACACAAGTTAGCCTGTGTAACAATGATTGCAAGCCCATGGCTTCAAGCAAAAATCAGTTTCTGTTGTGACCCTCCTCTTGCATACAGCATAAAATCCAGGTGCAAGCGGTGGGTCATACAGTTGGGCAGAAGGCACCTTGTCATGGTGCAAAAGTACGTGTTGGTAGGCCTGGCCTCTGATTGCAAGGTAGGTATGGCTACCTGGGAAGGAGACATGGCTGCTCGTCTACCTGGCAAAGCTGTAAATTGCCAGCAGCAGCCAGTGCTAGCCAGCAGCAGCAGCATCCCGCATATTGCTCCTACTGAGACAGTCAGATGCCCCCACCACATATTGTGATGGCCCAGTGTGGGAAACTCTGTTATTAAATGGCAGGATCAATGTATCCTGTCCTGGACACGTGGCCAGCTAAGCACTGGACCCTCCCTTGGCACTTGGGTTTTAGGCTCTAAGCCCAGAGTTTAGCCCTTAATGAAATAAGACAGGACAATATCAGATGAGCAGGATTTTTTTTTTTTTGGAACATCAGTTTCCATCAGTTCTCGAGGAGCATGAGAATTGGCACGACAAAGGCATATTTGTAAGGGCTGACGAGATGTAGTGGAACCTGTGCTTGGGTAAACTTTGCCCCATCAAAATAGCCGTAAAGAAACCGCCTCCTCATTACAGAAAAGCTGTTATGCCCGGAGCATATTAAATTGTATATGCTTTTTCTCAAGGCTAAAGAATTGCAGCAGTGACAGCAGCTGTGGCTGCTGGAACCAAGCCACCGCATTCAGCTAATGAAGGCCTTGCTGAGGATGAGGTGGGGGAAGGAACACAGCTGAATGTATTATTCAGAGACCCACGCTGAAATAATGTGCTAGTATTTAGCCTGTGTAGTATGAAAAAGGTTACTGCACAGTCACCAAGTAGCAGTGTCTTGGCCAGAGAGAGCAGCAAAGATGATTAGTTGACTCATTCGCCAAGTTTGATTCTTAATGCCTGGAGGATCTGATTCCTACTTGTAAAGATGAGGGAGGAGTTTTCCCCCTGGTTCCCCGAAGAAAGCACTAGCACTCAGCCGTGGTAGCAGAGCTGTGCTGTGAGGTAAGGGTTTGGCCCATGGTTACTGGATTGGCTTGATCCTGCACAACACCGACAAATGCAAAGCACAGTGCATATAAGCAGAAGATTAAAAGTAGCAAGCAAGCGGGATCTGCAGGGCAAGCCATTCCTTCACGAACGTGAGCTCTGCTGACAGCTATCCTAGTACAGCTGCTTGGTAGCAAGTGCAGCCCAAGAAGGAAGAATGCAGCCTCATTAGTGTGATGAGGATCACACTTAAACCCATGTCACCTCAGGCAATTCCACTCTCCACCTTCACTGTGCCCCTTTCCCTCTGCACACTTGAGAAAAAGGGAGTGGGGGTACAACAGGCTTGGGACTGTCGTCCAGCCAGCTGTCAGGCTATGGCAAGCGCTTAACCTCACCTGAGCCCACATTTGTTGTCGATCACAGCAACTCCCTGCACTACGCCTGGATTTGCAGAACTCTCCCTGTCACTAAACACTGTGGAAGTAGAGCTTTTTCTCCGACAACACCCTTGTACTCTACATGCAGAGGATACACAACAGGATCTAAAGATCTCTCATCACCGCTTCACACAACCTTGGCCTCTTTGTGCACGATTCTTATCACTGACATTCAAAGTCAATTACTTTTTCCTTAGTAGTCAGATCTCTGAGCCTCGATCTCCGGCCCAATTTTTTCTAGACTTCCCTGATCCTAGAAGGCCTCATGTTAGCGCTACAGCCATTGCAGCAGAGGGGAGCCGGACATGTCACCTTCTGGAGCCTAAGTCCATTTGAGGGATTGTTCTGGGATGTGGTGAGTAGCTGAAAACTTCTTATGTTTCTCCTGCATTACAGTTTCCTTGAGAGTAGATCTGAATTGATTGGGAGGTGGTGGGGGAATCCTATTTATCCTGTACTTTTGGAAAATAAAGAAAAAACAGCATGAAGCTTCCCTTGGTAACCCATGAGCATTTTAGCAGAGACGGGCTCATCGCAGCATCTCCCAAGCAATAGAGGGCAAAACAAGACAAAATAAATTAGAAATGAGCATTTTTATGATAACGTATTGCAAGTGTCTTACTAATGATGAGTTAGGCTCATAGTTCACATCTTACAACCAAGAAATAAAAGTAAAGATCATGCCTCTGAATGCCCATTTCAGTTTACCTCCAGCCATTCTAGCTGTCCATTCTTTAAAGCAGAGAAGAGATTCATGGCTCTTCTCCAATGCAAGCAACTTTCTTTTATAGCCTATGGGATAAGGAACCTTTCGCATTGTGTAGGTCTGGATAAAATGATCCAGTAAAATAAAATTCATATTCAGCTGCTTTTAAAGAAGATTATGGCAGATTAGCTAACTAATCTACAGTGAATCCCTTCTTCAGTGATTTCAAAATGTAAACAAATCCAGCCACTTGTCTTTTGTGTATAAATATTTACCATGGATTATATTAAGATTAATGTTAGGTGATATTTGCAACAGTGGTTTTACTTTGTGACATGCGACATTTGGTAATATAAAACCTACTAAAGGAAAAATGTCTTCAAGAAAGCATTTAATTTAAGCAGATGGGTTGTACAGTTATAACACAGCATGTTAACAGTTTGAAATAGGCAGTTACTATTACCTAAAACGGAGGGAAGCTGCTTGCTTGGTATAGAGTACAATTGACTGGGATTATTAAAATGCATTTGTAAAATCTGCATAGGTTTAAATTCATTTTAGCGAATGATGACATAACTACCAGCAGCGTGGGTAATATGGAGCATGTATACGTATAGAGTATGATTTTCAAAAACTCTAAGCATTGATCTAACTGTTCCCACAGAAATCAATGGAAATTTTACTACAAATTTTATAGGATCAGTTGAACAAAGGCTCTGTGCTTTTAAAAAATCCCACTCGTAATCTATAAAATGCTTCAATAAATAACAACAATAAAAATGACCAAATTACCTTTCTCTCAGAACTTTACAGTTCAGTTTTTTCCCTAATCAGGCTACTGGAACAAGACATCTAAGACCTTTTTATTAAGGGTGAGGTTAATTATGAGAAACTGATGAGTTCTACTAATTGATCTTACCTTTGTAAATTAATACAATTCTAGCAATCTACCAAAACTTGACTGTTTTTTGCCTTGGAGACCATGGGCATCATTCATACGTTATAACTTCCAGGCCGCTCATCAGATCTGAGCCCTTATTAAACATCTGGAGCAAACTACTTTACAATTAATATATGGCATTACCTTTAACCCTTATAAGTCTATGGGAGTTAAATCTAACCGGTCATACATTCAGAAGGGCCACAGACATACAGCAGACCATTGCTAATCTTCACAGACCAATGAAATTCTGATACTGGGCTGGAGTATAGGTCGTTTGGATGATGTCATAGCCAGTGTGGGAGCAGCAAGACACCTCCTGGCCCCTTTCTCTTTCATTCATTAATGTACTGAAACAGATCAAGGACATTTATACTTGGCTGGTGTTGTGCCTGCTCCTCCCCCGCTGCAGCACGCATTAGTCCGCAAACCTCTCCAATATACCAATAATCAGTGCAAGTCAGTGAGGCTCCAAACGTTCTATGGTTTTAGATCAGACTTGAGC